GTATCCTCACAGGAAGTCCCACAACGTGGTGACTCGCCAGGCCCAGTGGACAAAGCAGAGTCCAGGATCGTGAACACAGGCCTTGCAGGGGTGGGAGTGGGGGACCAGCACTAACCTAGCACAGGAGGAATGTGAAGGGGTTAAGTAAGTCATGGTCCTTCCAGTCACACAGCCTGCCTTTATTCAGCTTTACTTCCTCTTGCCTTTCTTCTCCACAGAGAAATAATCCGTAACAACTCCTCACAGGGGTGGGCACGTCATTAAACCTTAGCCGTTATTAATTCTGATATTTTCTAAATTCAAAAACTCAGAAATATGGATGATCTGAAAACAGGAAAGAAAAAGCCTCTGCTTTTGCATAGCCCCAATTTTTGCATAACACCCTGGTCTTTGGAACCTAAAGCTATCCTTAAGTAGGGTGGGTGTTTCTTCTGTGAGTTCGGTGAGTTTTTCCAATTGATTAGTGAATTGAAAGAACTAGTGAGAACCAGCAGGTGAAAATGAGGGAGCCCAGAGAGTGCACCTGGACTTGTGACTGGTGTCTTAAAGGGGTAATGGGAAAACCCCAGATATCCACCCAGCAGATCAAAAGGAAAGGTGTTGTATGAACTTGAGTTGGTGGCCTTTTTGATTATATAAATTACCTTGCAAAGATCTGTCCTAACTCCATTGGGTAGGATACAGAGAGATAGTACTGTTTAGGGAGCTGCTGTCTGATTTTTATCTATGAACTCATATTTGGAGATTGAGTTTATACTGATTCCTATCCAAGAATAAAGATAATAAGATTTATTTTCCAGAATTCTTATAAGGCTTCAATGAGAAGTTGTAAATCCATGAGAAATGTAGTTGGTGATTCATTTGAGATCTTGATATACTGGAAAGTATAAAGAATTTATCGTTTCTTTGAGCCCAGGTACTGTGCTAAATATTGTAAATACATTAATTTTGTTTAATTCTCAGAATCAACTGTGAGTCTAAATTGACTCCATGGCAGTGAGTTTGGTTTGGGGAGGTTTTAGTTACTTTGGATGAGGAAACTAGGCTATAAGGAAGGTTAAATGACTTGCCTATATGTGATCATATTTATACTCCCAGTATAACTCATTTTAGAATGACAAATCTAGACCTCAAGGTGATCAACTGCTAAGGCAGTGAACTGGCATTTTTTATAGTTAAATTCACAGTTAAGTGATAGACATACTTTTCACATACTTTGTATATAAAGTATTCTACTTACTTTAGGTATGCATATATAATTTGATTTTGCTATAAAAATAACTAAATGTGTTTTTGCCTTTTTTAGA